AATACAGGTCATTAAATTTCTCAAGGTCATATTTTTTCACGTTTAATTCTGCCAAACCGTAAATACCTGGTTGACTATTTTCATGTCAACATGAAGCCACGTATAGGTCAAGGTCATATGTAAGTCACGTCAATATCGGTCCAATAGTTTCCCAGATACAGCTCTTTAAAATTGAAGATTTATGTCTTCTTAGTCTGCTAAAGTTTTCACTGTACTGTAAACAGAATAATGATTGAATTAGAAGACATTTTGGAACATGCTTTATAATCTTTAAATTTAATTACATGAAGAAATTTAAATTTTTTTTCTTACTGTAATAATTGACTGTATAATGGATTTTATTCTATTTCGTCGTTACGTAAAAGAATCGAGGATTAATGATATCTTGACCTCATGTCTCTTTACTGATAACAACACTTGAAACAATTATCGATTTTAATCGAAATCTGTATGAAATGTTTGTTAGAAAGGTCAGTACACTTTTTGAATTGAAAGCGAACGGTAGTAGAATTGAAAACATCTCTCTTTTTAAATGAGTAAATTATTTTAATAAATAACGTTTATATTTGAATTAATGTAGTTAGTCGTGGTAATAATAGTACGCAAGGGACTCTTTGGATATCGTTGGCTGAAAACTGGTTTAATTTCCCTCCCCTTCGGTGTCTTCTACTCTATGTGAAAGGGGAAGATTGTTTTGCAAATGATGTAGGGAGATTTCCTGCAGTTCTGTGAAGTCTGGTGGGAACCCCCTTTCTTACTGAGATTGTAGATTCTCACGGCAGTGATGTTAGTCTGGGTTATAATATCGCGTAGTCTACATTATAATTATCATTTTTTTATCACAAATTTTCTATAAATTTGTAAGTCACATCCAGAAATAGAAATAAAATTTACTTAAATATATTTATTTATAAACTTATTTCTCGGTAGTACTACGAAAATCGAAGTGTTTCAGACACGTCCGAAGAAGTTAAATAATATCAAAAAGATTAATTTCCACTGACATGAATTATATACCATCGGCCATGTCAATGCGCGTAATGGAAAATATGAATCGTGTGGATCAGTAAATGAGTGTTGATTGACATCTGGCGGGTGTTTAAGGAATAATCTTGTTATAATAATTATATTATGAATAAATCTAAATAAACTGTGGTCGACATTCGTATCTACTATAATAATTCGTGATGTGTCGTCTATCAAGAAATGACGTCATCAACAATGTTACGTTATATTTGTTTACTCGGCATTGTTGTACCAACACAACAATGCCGAGTAAACAAATGACTTGAAAAATGACTTGAGTAAGACACTAAACTAACCCCCCCGAAGGGGGATTTAGTTTAGTGTCTAAATCAAGATTTTAAAACGAAACAAACCCCCCCTTCGGGGGGGGGTTAATTTCGTTTTAAACACTTTACCAACCCCCGAGGGGGTTGATTTCGTTTTAAACACTCGATCAACCCCCCGAGGGGGCGTTGGTCAAGTGTTTTAACCCCCCATTCGGGGGGGGGGTGGTTTAGTTTCTTACTCAAGATTTTAAAACGCAACCAACCCCCCCGAATGGGGGTTGGTCAAGTGTTTTAACTCCCCATTCGTGGTGCTGGTTTAGTCTCTTACACAAGATTTTAAAACGCAACCCTTCGGGAGGGGGGGGGGGGTGCGGTTT